GAGCAACTTAATTTTAATTTTTTTTTTTTTTTTTTAATAAATTTAATAAACTGCATTTATTCTGCTCACGCAAAAATGCACGAGCATTTCAACAGTGCTCGCCTGATTTCACACGAGCACCGTTGAACTGCTCGTGCATTTTTACGCGAGCAGAACCAAGTAATTTTTTTATTTTTTTTTTTTCGTTTCATTATTTAAATGTTTTTTTTTATTAAATGAAATATTAATAAAGTGTTTATTTAAAATGTAGAAAGGTAAATAGTTATGGTGAAAAGGTAAAAAACCATGGTAAAAAAGTGCCTGAATGTTTAATTTGGCCTGCGTATATCACTACCCATATATATATGCAAAGAAAGAAGAATGATGACATAATTCAAGAAGACAAAATACTTGAGGTGGGCCCCACTCTATAGCTCTATTCGTAATTGGCCTTTCATTTTTTTTACAAATTTGTTGGATAGTCTTAGCAAATATAGCAAATTGGATTTTCATATATTTATACTTTTAAAAACATTAAAAATAATATTTTTTTTTACTTGTAGAAAATAAAAATAAGATATTATTTATACTTGTAAAAACATAGAAAAAAAAATTATACTTGTAATCTGTAAAACATTATTAAAAAAAAAATTGAAAGAATTGCACTTAACTTTTTTTTTTTAAATATAACTGTTAGTGAGCCTTGGTGGTTGATTTATTGCTGATTTTTATTTTACTTTTTTTTTTTAAATTTAAAAACTGGACTGGTGGGTGGCTAATTTACATTTTTGTAAGTAGTTTGTTTCTTCGTTTAACCGTCATTTCCGATTCAACATTTTTATAAACATGAACCGAACCTCGCTACTACCGGATTTCGGTTCAAGTTTGTGTCGACCTGGTTCCAGTTCTGATTAAACTGACTGTTAACCCAAACCCGGTTATAGACCGATTCCAGTTCAAAATCGAACCATGGTGAGGTCTACCTGCAGTATATAAAATTTATTACTTTTTAATCATTAATTTTGAAGGACATCTTCATGTGCAGGGACAATTTCCTATTTGTAGGACACACAATATATATAATAATAGTTCGTATGTATTTGGCAAAAATAAGCTGAAATTAAAATTTGGGTAAATTACAACCATCACTTATGCATGGTTAAATTACGAAAATCCCCTCATGTTCTGATAGTTATATATATTCCTTCAACTACGAATCTTCTTACACCTCCACTCTTATGGTGTCAAATTCCACATAATTATACAGATTCCGTGGAGTGTGCTCTAGTTTGTACTCGTTTTGTGCAAAAATACAGTTTCTGATGCACTATAATTTGATATATACAAGCCAAAAAACACATCTTATGATCATCTTACTTCAAAATATGGAGCTCGAATGAGATAAAACGGGTACAAACTTGAGAATATTCCATACAATCTAGAAGATACCACTAAATTTGAAACCGCAAGGGTGGACATGTAAGAAGATTTATAGTTGATGGGTGCTTGTAATTACCCAAACAAAAGGGAGATTTTCGTAATTTGATCATACTTCATGGGTGATTGTAATTTACCCTTAAAATTTATTCACAAGCACTACTAAGGTGGTGTTTGCAAATGATTATTTAAAAGCAGAAGTTAGTGATTGTGATTTAAGTTAGTTTTAAGTGTTTATTTCTAAAAGTTGGGGGTGTTTGCAAATATTTCGGAAAATGAACTAAAATTGAAAAAGCAGGGTTAGGGGTGCTTTTAAAAAAATAGCTTAAAACTGATTATTTTAAGAGAAGCAAAAGCAAAAGTTGATTTTGCAAACACCTAAAAACAGATTATGAGTAAAAAAAAACTGCATAATCACTTTCAAAAAGCATTTGCAAACACCACCTAAGTTTTATTTTGACCGCATAAAATCATCTTGCAATAACAATTTGACCGTTTCACTTGGTTTCTACATTTTCGAATATGATTTCATTTGGCACGTTCATCAATTTAATAACAAATATTATTTTACTATTTGTTAAATATTTTATAAAAATCCAGCCATGTTTAGTATTTATTTAGATGGGGTTTATATAAAAGCAAATATATAATAAATAAATAAATAGATAAATACATTGAAAAAGCTAATGGGCCTCTCCCCCTAAAAGTCCACTAGTTTGTGGACCAAATTAAAAGGGCCTCTACCCTCTATACAACATTTCACTATCATTTTTGTTTTTATAATTACGTTCAATTCACACATAAATCACAATTAACTCCCAATATTCTACTACTAGAATTATACAAATTATTATTATTGTTATTATTATTATTATTATTATTATTATTATTATTATTATTATTATTATTTGACTAAAGTAGTGCCGTATTTTTTTTTCTTTTCTAATTATTAGGAAATAGGAATTATGAATGAAATGTAGTTAATTATAAGATGTTTATGCTCGAATAGACTTGCTCGTCGCCTAGAAGGTCTTCAATTTTTTCCAACCAAATTCATATGCAAATTACGAGTAAGTCAAGTGCAATGCATCTTACATGATTATACGTGACATAATGTAATATGCAAAAATATTGTGTACTTTGAAAGTAAGAAATACTCCATCCGTTCCTAAATAGATGTCGTTTTTCACCTTGGCACAAATCTTAAAAATCTCAATAAATATGTCTTAATTTTAGGAAAGTATATATTGATGGACCAAAATATCCTTGTTTATTAATTAATGCAGGAAGAGTGCTGCAGAGTTAATAAGGGTAAAATTGAAAAATAAGCAATTAATGCAGCATTGGAATTGTAAAGTAACAGATAATATGGAACAAAATAAATTCTCAAAAGAGACAAATATTATAGAACAGTGAGGGTATTTTGAATATAGTATTATTAACTATGTTAGTACTATATGTCATTTATCCTAATTTATTGGATTTAAACATAGTAGGGATAATTGTACATTTAATACATATCGGATATCGGATAAGTATTACGAGTATTATACTTTAGGTGTGTAAACTGTATTTAACTATAATTTAAATTATCAAAGAGATTAATATAATTATATAATACATTTTTATAGTTGAAAAAAATGTTTCCCCGAATTTGAGTGGATAAGTGAACAACAATCCACCCACCCCCACCCCCACCCCCACCCCCTTCTCTCTCTTCTCTCTCTTCTTTCTCTCTCACACACACAAAACACACACACACAGAAACACAAACACGAAGAAAAAATCAAAACTTGAACTGAATTCATACCGCTGCTGAATAAATCCAGAGAAGATGAAAAATTGAGGTTCCATTTTCACGCGCCATGACTTTGAGTGTGAACTCAGACACTTCTTCTTCTTCACCACCCGTTCTCGACTGGAAATTCTCCCAAGTCTTCGGCGATAAATTCCCCGGAGAAGATGTCCAAGATAGTAATTTCCCCCCTCAACCCCATTTATTGAACTCTGTTTCTCTCTCTTCGAGTTGTTGTAATATTAGGGTTTTCATTTTTTGTTTTATCGCTTGCAGTTGATATTATCTCGGCAATTGATTTCGACAAGAATGGAGATCATCTCGCCGTAGGCGATAGAGGCGGCCGCATCGTCATTTTTCAGAATAAGGGCGGTAAACATGTGAGAATCGCCATTTTCTATTTTCATTTTTCCTTGCAGCAAGTGAATCAGAAATGTATGAATAGTGGATTATTTTAATGCTATGAAAATTGGAAAATTTGATGATTCAGTGACCGTTTGATTCAATTCTAGGGCTAGGGTTTAGCAATGAAAGTGGAGTGGCATGAAAAGTTCATTTTTTTTAAAGACATTTTTGGCATATTTTGTTCCTTAGGATGCAGCTAAGTTCACTTCACGGAACGAGTTAGAGCAACTCGATTATGCTGTTTCAAAGCATCCTGAATTTGAGTTCAAAACCGAGTTCCAAAGTCACGAGCCCGAGGTATATTCTCTCTCTCTACCTTGTAGTTTCTTCATGTTTTCGGCATTTAGGATCTTGACTTTGTACTCTTGATTGTGTACTTCTACAGTTTGATTATTTGAAGAGCATCGAGATTGAAGAAAAGATCAATAAGGTCAGGTGGTGTGCAACGCCAAATGGAGCTTTGTTTATTCTCTCAGCAAACAATAAGACTATCAAATTATGGAAGGTATAACGCTCTTCCAACATCTTTTGCTCGAGCACGCAAGTATTATTGAATAAATGTTAGATATGTTAGAACATTTATATCACGATTTGAGAAAAATGATAGGTCTACTGTAGCTGACTTGGTAGAAGTGTATCTACCGTATTCATTTTGTGATGATTAAATAACTGGATAGTGCTGAATTTTAGTTAATCTCTATTGTCGCAGACAAAAACTTGTACGGAATATTTCTTCAGATCAAACTATCAAGATTAAAAATTGACTATAGGCATTGATAGCTATTTTCACATTATACTTTAAACAACTATTATTTTCTTACGACTTTAATGGGTGCCAATATGCAGGTCAAGGACCACGAAGTTAAGTCAGTCAAAGAAATGGATACCAGACAATCTGTATCTTCAGAGAATTCACTATTGGCAGAAACGAGTTTTATTAACGGGCAAAATACGAATTTTGCCAATGGTCATTCTTTAGAATGGACAGGAAACAAGGAGAATGGCGTAGCATCATATAATGGAGATCAGAACAAGGTATGCATTTCAGATTTTAAATTTGTAATATTATCTAATCTTCTCACTAAGAATATTCGTCTTCAAATGTTTTTAGCATCACAATGAAGTAACATTTGTTTTGTATCTAGATAGCAAGTTTAGATGATGCCACTATTGCAAGATGTCGGAGGGTGTATGCACATGCTCATGATTTCAATATCAACTCTATTTCGGTTAACAGGTACAGTATATATGATTCTTTTTCTTCATTTAGATCAAATTTTATTCTAGAACTGCAGAACAAGTTTATTCTATTGGATAATTGGATTTGTATAATTCTTTTGCAGTGATTGGGAGACATTTCTTTCTGCAGATGACCTTAGAATAAATTTGTGGAATCTTGAAATCAGCAATCAGTGTTTTAATATCATTGACATGAAGCCTGTGAACATGGAAGATCTTATAGGTAATTTTTCGGACACGTATTTTTGCATCGTTTCTCGTTCATGGTTTTCATTGCATTATTCTCAAGAGAAGTATGATCTTCGTTGCATCTATATATATTATTTGAACACAAGGAATGATTGGATTACCGTTCAATTTTTTCTAGAGGTGATCACAGTAGCAGAATTTCATCCATTTCACTGTAATCTGCTGGCTTACAGCAGTTCAAGGGGATTTATTCGGCTTGTAGACATGAGACAATCAGCTATATGTGATCACAATGCAAGAATGTGAGTGTTTTAGCTTCTCTACCACAGAAGTTACGTAGTTGTTACTTTGATAACTTCTCATTTTTTCGTTACGTCAAAATTTTATTATAGATTGAAAGATGAGGAATCCAGTGGGCCAAAATCATTCTTCAATGAGATAAGTGCATCGATAACCGATATGAAGTTTGCGAATGATGGAAGGCATATTTTGACCCGCGATTATATGAATCTGAAGGTCCGTTGATTGACACAATTATCTTCTATTGCATATTCTATTGTTTTATTTTCTAAAATTCAAATGCGATCAAACACGAACATTCTTTCAAGTTCCCTTTTCAATCATTTTTTTTTCTATTTTCAGCTTTGGGATATGAATATGGAAAGCAGTCCAGTTGCAACATATCGGGTTCATGAGAACCTACGCCCTAAGGTGAGATTTTTTTTCTACAAGCACAACTTCGTTTTCTCGTCTGTTTATTTCAGATAGATTCATCGGAAACTTTTCCTTCAGTTTCTGGTTTCCCCTATATATACATACTACGATGGTCGTTTGCATATTATCTCTCTCTTTTATACTGAAGGCTGACACACCACACAGTTGTGTGATTTGTATAACAGTGACTCAATCTTCGATAAGTTCGAGTGCTGCCTTTCGGAAGACAGCCTTCATTTTGCAACTGGATCTTACAGGTTTGTTCTTCAACTAAAAGTTTGCCCAGTCATACTTTTTTGTCCTTTTCCTACTCCAAATTAATCGTTCTTTTTGTTTATCAGCAATCATCTGCGCGTCTTTTCACACGGAAGTGGGAAAGAAGAAGGATTAACCATTGAAGCCGCTAGAAAACCAAATAGGTATATACTCATTTTCTTTTTTGTTTATTATTTTTTCTGTAAAAAGAAAAATTACAATGAAAATACTTTATATTTATATCTATATATAAAATAATATGTATATATGTCTTTTTGTATGCTTTGCAGGAAGCAGCATGCCCAGACCACATCAAGAGCCCGAAGATCATCTTTGAGCAACTTGGCTAGAGGATTTTACCGACAAGGTGCCCTCTTTTTTCTTTATTATTATTATTTTAACTTTTATTATTTATACTTTGTTTTGATTAAAAAAAAATCTTCAGGAAACGATAATCACGGGGCTGGAAGTAATGAATTTTCGTACGATTTCAACTCGAAGGTGCTGCATATGGCGTGGCATCCGACAACTAATTTGATAGCGTGTGGTGCTGGGAATAGCTTGTTCATGTATTATGCCTAATGTGAATATAACTATGTACAGAATATTCAACTGCTTAGTAATTGGCTTCTCCTTTTAATGTATAATTACCATTTTGTTAGAGGATTATCGTGTTCATTTCGGATTCTGCAATATAAAGTGTAATGCAATTGTAAAAAAAATAATCTCAGCTAGCTTCCACGTTTCGAAATTGTAAGTACTCAAAATCATCGCAGAATAGATGTTTTAAGCATGTTCGATGGATTTGTTATTACACATGTAGAATATTCCGTTACATCCAACAATACATTAAATCCTTGTAGAATTCCAGGAGTGCAGAAAAAGAAACAAAATACATTGTTTATGTATACAATTCTAATATACAGTATACTAGGAGATCACAGAAAACCTCACTCGAAAACTCGAACTAATGCATCTCATAATACATCATATACACGACCAGTGTATTCACTCGAAAAAATCGACTATGGATAAATGTAGCAAAAAAGTAACGCCTCAGAGTGGGAAAAAAACACAGACAAACATAAATAAATACACATTAAAAAAAATGCACAATTACTCTTCAGTCCTTGTACGAATGATCTAATCAAACGGTTAATGAAAAGCTCTTCTGAGCTCCAAGGTTTAATGGCTTTATTTCCCACGACTCGATCTCGTCTGTTTCTTCTAGAAGGATGAAAGGCATAGATATCTCCCGAATCATCAGTTCCCCACAAAACGGGCATTCACTAGCTATGGCATCGTCCAACTGCGATCGAATCTGCATGGATTTTTTTATTAGATTTCTTAACTAGTGACCGTATTCGTTTTTATTAGATTTCTTAGCATAAAAAAAAAAAAAACCGTAAGATTCAAAAAAATGTAATTCAGACCTTATCGCCAGGTGTCATGCTTGTTATTGGTTCGTCGTCTGTTAAGCTTTCCTTCCTCGGGTCATTACCCAATAAAGTCAACTGCTTATGCAAATCCAATATATACTCCGCCTGCAAAAATCATTAAATAGAAAGTTCCGGAAGTTAAACAATGTACTCAAATAAAATAAAATGGAGTCGAAACCCGAAACCCGAAAACCCGAAAACCCGAAAACCCGAAACCCGACAACCCGAATTTTCGAGTGCATATAATATAACTGAACTTACTTGAGCTTCAGTAGTACATCTAGTCACGTGTGCAATCAGACAGTGCGCGTGAAAAGAGTGTCCACACGGGAATACATAAAAAGGAGCCATAGATCCGACTGAAGTATACACTCTAGCCATCCGATAATCGTCCGCTGCATTTAATATTTTCCTCCGACAAACCTATTTAACACCGAGTAAAAACGAGAATGTAAAAACGGTCAATAAAGAGAGCATCTGCGTAATTTTTCTTTTAGGACAATATTAAGATAAGGCGTAACCAAGAAAAGGTCAAGCGTTGTTATTACCCCACATTCTTCGTCTCTCTTAATGACAGCATATCGTTGTGCGAGCGCACTGATGTCGTTTCTTATGTTGTCAGCACCATGCGTAGCATCATTCATCTCCTGTTTGAGTTTTTCGATTTGCTCGTTGTAGTCCTCGAGAGATGTGCAGATTGCCTCCTACAATTATTTTACGAAAGAAAAATGGTCAAGCTAAAGAATAACAGAGAATTAGTTCTATAAACAAACTTTTCATAATGAATTTCTGAAATTCTGATTTTTCTGAAATTTCTTGGATTGGAATTGGAATATATATGAGATTTCGAATTTCGATCGGATTTTAATTTCCGAAAGTTCCGATACTTTTCCGATAATCTTACAATATCACAGTTATTATTATGTAATTTACATCTTATGGTAATAAAAATTGGAGTTTTCCGAATTCCGCCTATTCCGATCTAAAAATTCCCGATTTTGGAACAAGTTTCTCATTCCAATTTCTGAAACTACGATTCTTTTATTGAATGGAATTGGAATTGGTTTTTCACTTCCCAAAAAAAAATCGGAATTTTCTGAAAGTGCTTCCGATCCAATCCGATCCGTACGATTTTCACCCCTAATCTAGAGTGAAGAAAATGCCAAGTTAAAAAAAAATGCAATTCGAACACAAACCTTGAAATCATCGATGAGAGCAAAATCTGGAAAGAAAGGCAAGATATCTTCAATTTTAAGAAGTCCGTCTGTTTCTTTGAGAAATGCAATAGCCTTTCGAATGTTCTCTCTCTTCGTTCCCTTCTCTTGTTCAATGACATGTTTGGCTACCATAAGCCAAAGCTTTTTCCTCAAGTCCTCGTCATCTTCAACCTTGTCAGCTTCTGCCATAGCAAGCTCCGGATCTACCTAATCAATTTTAACCATCGAATAAGAGACGACTTAATATTCAGTCTCGATTATCATTAAGCATTTACAAAACTCTTATATAGATGAGATTAGTGTAAATTACCTGTAGAGCAAGAGCAACTGCTTCTTCATGCATGGACATCATACTGTATATGTGGACGCATGCACGCATTCGTCTTTCCTTGAGACAAAGACGCAATGCATATTTCGGATCGTAGAAAAACTCGGGTCCGTTTGGCTGACCTTTACCGAACTTGCATTGCAAGAAACGTAGAAGAGTGCTCTCGTCCTCCTACAGTAAGTAGACGGAAAACTAAAAATAAGATTTTAACGAAAAATACGGGAAATGAAGAGTTACTAAATATTAAATATTTAAATATTGGGAATCAAACCAACCTGCTTGGCGTACAACGAGAGCACCAAATTGTGAACACCAGGATCCTCGTTCTGCAAACGATGAACGCAGTATTCCAAATACTTTATCACTTCATGAGTTTCGTTCCTGTATATATAAACGAAAAAAAAAAATTATATAAAAGAAGATAAACACTAGCAAGAGATACAAAAGAGATAGAGAGATGAATATTACTTTGCATGCGGTTCACTTGAATAACGCATCATTGCAGGAATGAGCTTTCTTGGGTTGAGGTCTTTTGTCGTCATCCATGATTCAACAGTTTCGTATGCGTCGAGCATGATTAAGTCTGGTGCAAACTTGTACTGCACGATACAAGAAATTTTCAGCAACATACAAACTAAAGGATAAACCTCAGCATACACCATTTATCGGTTTAACGAGGGCTTGAAAGGAAAGGAATGCGGTACAACACTTGTACGCACACAGAAAACGAAGAAGTCTAGAAAACTTTATCCTCCACAGGACATACCTGAAGTTCTGTCGGAACGTTGGGTCTCTGCAGAACTCGCAATGCTTTCTTTGCTTCTCCTAGCTACAAAAAAAGAAAAAGAAAAAGAAAAAGGTTAGGTTCACTTGAAATTGCAATAATTACAGCACAACGGCATGTATTTACACTGAAAAATAGCTCAGGGTTGATGTCAATTGGGCACAAATGACGAACAGCAGAAACGAAAAAATTAAAACGTATGTAAGAAGTTGAACGAGCCATCAAGATAAAAGAACAATTGCATTAAAAAAAGTGTAGCAAAAGAAAAGGCACCTGAATATAATGGTGAACAACAATCTCGTGTTGCTCTTTAAGACTAGCAAAGAATACCAGTTCATCAACTCTACCATAGCTGCAAGGTTTCATAATATACATGTTTGTTAAGTGTATTTAAAACGAAATGACTGTACCATCTTGCTAAGAAAATCAAAGGGTAAATAACGGCCACCCCCCTGAGGTAAGGTCAACTTACGAAAAAACCCCTTATGTTTGGGTAATTACAACCACCCCATCAAATATGAATCTTCTTACACGTCCACCCTTACGGTGTCAAATTCAACATAATCATCTAAATTCCGTGGAATGTTCTCTAGTTTGTACTCGTTTTGTGCAAAAAATGCAGTTTCTGATGCACCAAATATTTACAAGCCAAGAGACACATTTTACGATCATCTTGTTTCAAAATGTGGAGCTCAAAATGTGGAGCATGAATGGGTAAAACGGGTACAAACCGGAGAATATTCAACGTAATCTAGAAGATTCTACTAAATTTGACACTGTAAGAATGGACGTGTAAGAACATTCATAGTTGAGAGGTGGTTGTAATTACCCAAACAGGAGGGGGGTTTTTCGTAATTTGACTTTACCGCAGGGGGTGGCCGTACCAAAATCAAAATATAGCTATGCGTCAACAATTATGTTCACCTTTTGAATAGCTAATCTTAATAGAAGTAGATATCAAATTGAAGCCAAACAACAATTTACGCGATTCATTATTTTCCAAGATTCAATAGAAAAAATATGCTAAACATAAAAAAACTAACTAAAAATCAGAGCACCTCTCTAGAAGCTTCATGGTAGTAGCCTCGTCCAATACATCCTTGCAGTCAGTCAAAAAGGCACGAAATTCTGCGATGATTGATTGAAATTCTGAACTCGAATTATCAGACATAACATCATCCTCCAAAAGTAGTCGATTAATCTGATCAACGAAAGAAGACATTGTCAACAAATGCACAATTACCTACTATAACCTCGAAGCATGTGAATAAGCCGAACAGTTGAACGATGGTCCACTGCATTTACGAAAGATTTTCCCTTTGCAACAAACTAGAGGTATAGAAGTTCAAACCACCGTACAAAGAAGATATTTATTTGTACAGGAATATCAGCAATAGCAGACAAACCTTATCGAGATAAAGTTCAGTTGCCCAGGTGGAAATCATTGTTATTTGGCATTTGTCTTCCTTTGCAAAACTATCTAGCTTCCGCAGCAAAAAGGTTCTTAAAGCATCCTGCAAAACAACGGAACCATTACTAAAACGTCGAGCAGAAAACCACTCGGAAAATTTTCGTAAGGATGTGAAGATAAACTACTGTACCTGTTCCCCGATGCTAATAAACTTTAACGTGATCTCTTCAAATGACAAGGCAAAGTTAATCTGCAGCAAATTGCCGTTTGTGGAGTTAATAAACTGTCATCACTAAAGTAAATCACATTGTATTTATGGATGGCTATTGCACAACTAGAAGGGCAAAGATGAATCACCTTCGCGTAAAACGAAGCTGCTCTGCGAAAATCTTTTGCGGTAAAAGCATCTTCAGCCTGCATCACAATATTGCAGTCAGTACGTTATTAGTAATTTATCGAATGCAATTACAATGAAAATCGAATATACCAAGTGTGTTAGAATACACTCAGACCTGCACCAGATAAACTTGATCTCTTTGGAGGGGATCCCGACAATTTGCCAAAGCCGCAGCATATACCTTTAAGTCTAAGTACACTTTCCACATGTCACGGCCTTCGTCATTCACAGATACCTATATCACCATTTTCATATACATTAAAAAAAAATGACGTATGATTTGAAGCATAATAAGCAATGTCGAAAGATAATGTCACCTGAAAGATGGAATTCTGGTCGTATGCGTAAAAAAGCCCGGCAGATGCATCACTGCATAAACCGAGAACACCACTTGAAACTGAATCGGGTGTTTGATCAAAATAAAGCTCCTCAACAACCTGTTCGCTAATCCGATTTACAACCTAGAATACATTATAAAACGAATGGAGTTAAAGACCTATTTGGTCATAAAACAGAGGCATTGCAATAAAAAAATAAATTAAAAAAACAACAACATAGAATGCAGAGGACATATTACACACCTTAACCTTGTTCCCAACCAGAAGAAGAAAATGGAATTCAGACATTGACAGCGAGCTAGGTTTGACCAGCACACCTTCACCTAGTTTTGCATAATCCAATAGAGCTTTGTTCTCCACAAAGTTTTCATCCCCGTTTGCTGAACTAAAATGTAAAATATCGGAATAATAAAGTGGTCAAATGATAAGCCACTCGAAAGTAATTGAAGTCAAAAAGCCACTTCTCTCTATACCTGTGTTGTGCTCCGAAATTAAGGCCACCGTGATATATTCCTGCTCCAGATAGCCATGCGAAATGTGTTGCTCTTCTCTGCTTAATGAAGAAATGCAGCTCGCTGCAAGAATGAACGTTAAATTTCACCTTGACTCCTAATAAAAAGTGCATAGATACTCGTAAACATTAATCAGAAACCTGATTTTCACTTCACTCAAATAGCTTATCTCGATAATAACAAAAACACAAAACAAAATTTATAAATTTGCAATCTCAAAAAGAAACGGAATGAAATGTATGAATAAAAAAATAATAAATAAATAAAATAATAAAAATTATCTAGCTTTGCATCAACAAACAATTGGAGCATATCGACGTCTATTTAACAGCTAACAAAAGAGACGAGATGAGACAACCCAAAAATATGTAGTTTAAGGAATCGATCGATATTGTAATATGGCATCAGCTAAACTCTTTACTTTGAAGAGAACCTTGATTACCAAATAGATTGATAAATCTAATATTCACTTCTCACAACATTTGTGGCTTTGTGCAGTAATTTTAGCAACCATACTGATTTTTACAGATGGTTAAAACTAAATTACTCGTAGCCCGTAATTTGCATTACTGGACCAGCATAGGAATAACAATTTAAAGCAGAATGTACATGCACTTGCCTGTTCGGGATATCACCAGGAAGCTCCATGAAGTGAACTGCACGTTCCGTGTAGCTAACAAAAACAGACTGCAGAAAGGACGTGAACCAAAAGGTAGAAGATTACTGTCAAAGTTTGGATCTTTACCACATACATAAGAACCAAGGAGAAAATTAGATATAATATCACTGATTGAATATAATTATGAGTTATCGTGTACTTTAGACTTCTAGGTGCATAATGACCACAAATCTAGAAACCGATAGGAGAAGAGTCGATTTAAACTTACTTCCAATGAGCCCATTCCTGTGAAAGAATAAAGCCGGGTAGGAGTAACCGCCATCACATAGTATCTTATTACATTGTTTAGGCTTGTTGTCTCCATCTGCAAAATGAAAGAAAAAACATGAGTCAACGGCATGGCTGGAAAAAAGTCGATAGAAAAAAAAATCCTCATTTGGCATTAAGTCGAGGGGAACCTAGAATGTAATATGCCGACTGACATGAATTTTTCTTACTTGAGCACAGTTTAGCCATATCAAATCCCAAGTTTAGAAAAAAAATATATTATAGAAGAAACTAATGAAAAAGAATCGAACCTGCAATCCCGTGAAAGCTTCTGGAAGTTCGCTAAGTTCAAATAAAAATTTGATGTACTTTTCCTTCTTATCCTTTTCATCGACAAAAACTTCATGAAGTTGGCCATTGTCTGTACCAACAATAATTTCTTTGGTGGAAGCTGTACCAAAGGCATCGAATAAAAAATATTCGATCAAATCTCTATAGAGAAAGATCCGTAGCCATGTTAAAGACGATTATACGAGCATCACTACTTTACCTTCAGTGATCTGCTGCTTGTTCCAGGCAACGGAATTCACAATAAGACCTTTCAATTTGGCCAATATTCGAGGCTTAGCCCACTTTGCGTGCGTGTAAAATGTGTCAGAACTTCCGCCACCAACTACAGTAGCAATACAGTGGCTACCTCCGGGATCAACAAAAACCCTGTGGATTGATTGCTCCCCAGTTCTACCCGCAGACAGATCAGTATCTACTCGTTTGATCCCAAATTTCGAAAAGAAAAAAAAATATATTACGAAATTGAAATTCAATTGCGAAAAAACACTAAAGTTAGATAGGGAAGAACGAAAAATTCAAAAAGTAGAGACACATGTATGGCAATAAACCGTTGATAAATGCAATTTGTCGATACACAAGCATAATGTGATGCAAGAGTGCTTAAATGTTCTTGAAGGAGCTATTGAATTGATTGCAAGTCCAGACGACAAACCAAAACTGAACAGACAATACACTGCGTATGTAATGGGAAACAAATGTTCGTACAAAATCTTATTACTAATGTTTGAGTCGTCAAAAGTTCAGCTAAGGACATTAGATGCCATAACACAACCCAAATTTACAGACAACTAACCCCAACATAACATAATCTTATTACTAATGTTGGTGCAAGGTTCAAGGATCGAGTTCTGGCAGCCGCACAATGCAGATAAAAAAAGGGGGATTTCGCCTTTTTGGTGCAAGAACACAATACAGATATAAAAGAAAAATGTATTTTAGTTTACGCGCACTAAGCAGTAAATGTGCAACGAACAAAATCATCGACTTTCTCGCAAAAGAACCTAACTTGCGACTAAATCGGCACGAAAATTCGGCTGGCAGGCATCATTTAGATTAAAAACTAACAATCCCAATTGATGAGAAAACAGCCTAGGCATAATTCGAAGCACAAAGTCATCGGTATTTTCGTAATTAAACGAAAGAAAAAAAAAACACACACACACATAAATTAAAGTGAAAAAAAAAGAGAGAGCATATAATTAAACGGATTAGCAGAACGGAAAAAGCCCTTTACCAAACGAATCGCCGACGCCGAAATCGTGGCGGATGACCCAGCCTTTGCTGGTTCCCAGCACAATGACGTCATTGCCGGCGGCCATACACGTAATCACTCCCCGCCCCTTGGCGGCGTGCCTCTCCAGCAAGTCCACCGAGAACACCTGCCGCCTCGATTCCATTGTTTTCCTCTCCAATTGCAACTCGTGATAATCCGACTCAACTGAATTGAACAATTCCGGTGGATATACAAAATCGTAATTTCTTCAAGATTCAACTGTGTTTACTTCGATCGTTTGCTGTGTCCAACGTGGTGGGGAAATCCGACCGATCCCAGGAAACCCAAATACTAATATACATGCATTTAAATCTTTCAATTTAATTAGAATTGTTGAAGGGCAAAATTGTAAAAATAAAATATATAATTAAATAAAATATAAAAAAAAATATATTAAGTGGGACTAGTTGTGATTTGGTTTTAATTTTTCTTTTTTTTTTTGTTTTTGTTTTGGAAATATGGGATATTGGAATTTTGGAAATATGGACGAAATAACTTGTTTCAAAATTAAAAGTTTTCGTATGATAATCAACTGAAATTGTAAATTTTGATTTTTATTCACCTATAATATAGAACATGTAATCATATTAATATAATATTTCGAAAAAGGAAAAATTGAAATTTCTTTTGGTTAAAATCCAAAAATAAAAAATCGGGAGTTTTTAGAATACAAAATAAGAAACCGCTTGATGGGCTAAGAGTTCGTCCAATGGGCCACAATGGTCGGGGAGGACTGAGAACTCGCTTAATGGGTTATAACAATTTACTTATTAAAGGCACGGGCACGGCGTCATAATAACACTTAAGTTGGTTGAGAGCTCGTCAATTACTTCTAGTGCATCTGAAGATGAGAAAATTAGACGCGATAGGTGGCGAGCTGATCTTAGAATCGTTCAAGGACACGATCCTTCGGAGTTCTTTACTGTAGCATCTAAGGGCTTGCAGAATCTGATCGAGCAATGGGTCGCTCTTAACGCAAAGGAGAATAAATCGGATAAACCAAAGGAGGAAGCCCTAAGACTCGAGGAATAATCGACAAGAGCCCGAAGAGGTGGCAAAGAAGAAGAGGAACATGTATCTCGGGTAATAGAAACTAGAGATCTGAATCAACGAACTGAAGTTAAAAACTTTTAGTGGGAAAATAAAATTTTGGTGTATGGTGGGTGATATGGGGGTCGACCGCCGTAGGAAGTTAAACCTAAATCTACATAATTTTAGTTGTAATGGAAATTTAGAAATTTAGGGTGATAGGCTAAAAGAACCGAGAGTAAATGAAAAATGGTGATATGGTAATCGGTGGGAGACGCTCTTAATTGCGTTATCAACTTAATTTGGTTATCAAGATAAGCCATAATTAACTAAATAGCTGGACTTAATTTGATGTTTGGTATCCCCAATAAATTGTCGAGTCGACCCGCCAAAATTATATAATCATGTCTTATCTTACTTATCTTGCCTTCTAATGAGTTTTTTTTTTTTTTTTTTTTTTTGACGTTGCAAGGTCCAATAAAATAATTGGATATCATTAGATTATTTAATCTTATCTTGGTTAATCTTATCTTACGACCAAACCACCCCTTATAATACTATATTATGATCTATTTTCGCTTGCAATGTAATTATAGTGTTTGATCTATTATTTTGCTCATAGCATGAATAATGCCACAAATAACACAATTTAAATCATTTTTGCTAGTAAAAACCCCATTATTTCACTAATTTCAAGATGTTTCATAATTATATTCTTTGATTTTTTTAAGAGAATTATATTCTTTCATTAATTCACTGTTACTGTTTGTTGTCACTGTGAATTGGTCAATTTTAGAACTTAATCCTCCAAGTTGTCATACTTCAATTCGAGACACAATAACTTTTCAAATTTAGCATTTTGGTCCTATTTTGTTTGAAATATTAATTTTACCCTTGGATTAATTATTTGGCTAATAAATACATTAGAATTTATTTATATTAATATTTAAAAATTATATATGCTCTTAACTTGATTTATTCACACAATAACAATTCTATCAAAACTAATTTAGATGACCAATTTATAATTTATAAAACTTTGTGTAAGCAAAATCCGTCAAGTTTTTTCTGCCTCATTATAAAATAAAAATGTGACGCAAGATAGGACCAAAGAAGCTAAAGTTGTCATGTTAAAAAACTGTAAAATTGAAATCAAATAATTTAGAGGACTATAACCCTAAATAGACCAATATCAATGACCAAAATAAAAAAAAAAATGTTATAACATAATATAATAGTATTAATAGGGAAAATTGCGGCCACCACCCGGCGTATGCTTAAATTACGAAAAAAATCTCTAATGCTTGGATAGTTACAACCACTATCTGTTGGAAAGATATCTGCTATGAACGAAAATTTGCCGAGGCGAGTTGACTCTGTCCTTAAGACGAAATTTCCCCGCAACGGTGCTAACGGATTAAATGGAAATCGTCTCCCAAGATACAACGGCAAAACTTGGAATAGGAGCACTCCAAATCCCAAGTACAACGAACTGTACTTTGTGTAGAACTTTTCGAGAGAATCTGTGGTAGGCTTAATATGCAGTAGGCTTGTTTTGGATTGAAGTGAGGAATTATGAGAAAGTTAGGGTCTATTTATAAGGTTCGAAAAGTAGTGTCCTTTGGAGCAAAAATGTACCTTTTGTTTGAATGGTTGCACCATTTTGAATTGAGCCAATTGGGAGTGGTTGCACCATTTCGAGTTGAGCTGAATGGTTTGCATTGGCACCAATTCAGACTAGTCAGACCAATCGAGATGGGCTTCGAGTAATAAGGGCCCAATGGGTTAAAGCCCATGACCTAATGTTTTTGGCCCAAAAAATTAATGTGGTGATTTGGGCCCAAGCCCAAATCCAAATCCGATCCGTACGAACGAGCCGAGCCGGTCGGACGGCGGCGCGTGGGCATGATTTGAAACACATAACATATAGGCCTTTATCCCAAACAAAGTTGAATGCCCAAAGGGCGTGACCCTTTCTCCCAATATTTTGATATATATACAGCTCAATACTTCTCTACTTTTCCAATGTGGGATAACTCAAAATCCCACTTTCCTTAGATTTTGGACTAGTAATTTTTCATTCACCACAAAATCGGTTCTAATCCAAAATTCATTTATATACTTCAATTAGACCGTACAATAACATTGATAAAAAAATGTTCATGACTCAATTTTTAACCAATTTTCCCAACACTATCTTCACTATGTATTATCTTACACGTCCACATTTACCGTATAAATTTACCTACTGAACGAAGGGATTTTTCGTAAGACAATACATAATTGAAGGTGATGATTGCAATTATCGAAACATGAGAGATTTTACTTTATATTTTAGATGAAAATATATTACTTATCATTAGAACAAATATCAGTTAGATGAAAATATAATTAGACGGTTCAACACAAGTAAACATAAACCAAAAAAGAGCATTTTTTTTAAAAGAGTATAAATATAAATACTAGAATATTTCTTCTTATGAAATTTAAAATAGGGAGCCTTGTTCAAAAAAAAAAGAAAAAGAAAAGAAAAAAATTGTATAGTATTAGTTGGTATAACATGTAATTTAGGGGGATAACTGAAGAATTCTATATTAGAGGGAGATAATTACAACCACTCCTCAACTATAAGTCTTCTTACACGTCCATCCTTGCGGTTTCAAATTTAGTGGAATCTTCGAGATTATATGGAATATTATCATCTTTGTACCCGTTTTATCCCATTCGAACTCCACATTTTGAAGCAAGATGATCGTAATATGTAATTTTTGGCTTGTATATATCAGATTGTGGTGCATCATAAACTGTATTTTTACACAAAACGAGTACAAACTAGAGCACATTCCATGAAATCTAGATGATTATGTTGAATTTAACATCAGTGAAGAAGATGTAAGAAAAAATCTTAGTTGATGGGTAGATGTAATTATCCAAATAAGATGGATTTTTTCGTAAATTGACTATACCTCAGGGCTGGGTGGTTGTAATTTATCCCATATATATATATATATATATATATATATATATATAGAGAGAGAGAGAGAGAGAGAGAGAGAGAGATAAAAGGGGTAACTAATGTACGGTCAAACCAAGTTGACTGCCATAAAACAAAGGACAATTTGCCCGTTGCGGTTTGCCCATAAAACCCTAGAGCATCAATACAGCATATTCCATTTCCATATATATCAATTAATTATTCATTTTTTTTTTGCTATAAATAGGCTTTGAAAACCCTAGAAATTCAGAAACCCCACCCATTCCTGAAACATCAGCCTCCTTTCTCTCTCTACTTTCCCCATTTGGGATTTTGTGTAAGATTTTCTCTCTCTTTTCTTATTACAACTTTTGCAACTTATATATATATACATATACATCTATATATATATATATATATATATATATATATTTTATTTTATTTTGGAATAAAATGTGCAAAAATCTTCCATCCGATTGCTGAATAAATTTAGATGAGCAACGCGGCCATCTTTTGCACAGATTAAATAATATTAAGGCTTAATTAATTAATTTATTTAGCCATTAATTTGCTGTTTCTAAGAAGTTGGTGTTGGTTTTCACTCCACTTTAATTTCTTTGATTTTGCAGCATACATTATTTCTTTTTATTTATTCTTTCATGAACTTTTGATTGATTATCTATTTTATTTTTTTGTTTGAAGTTTTAATAAGTAATTTTTTGTATTTTGATATGACGAGACAAAAAATTTAAGTGCCATAAAATATTGAGTACCTCTGTAAATTTATTTTTATTTACAAATGTACAGCTGTATATAATAAGTGCAGAGCAATTTACGAAATATAGATAAATTAAATAAGGGCATGTAATTAAAATTCATGAAAGACCAAATAAAATGACAAGCAGACACAAATTAATCTCACACAGACACATTTTATTATTATATATAGACACATACAAAAGAGATAAGTTCCACTGAGACGAGTTGGACTGTCGGATTATATTGTCATAAGTTTTTAAAACAAAATTGAAACACGTGAATTAAATTCACAATGTGTTTTTAACTTTTCTTAATTTCTAAACTAAATCTTAGTTAGTGGGCTTAGTAGGGCTAAGTAGTGCTTAGTGGATTTAATTATGGGATTTATCTTAACTTCCTAACTAACCCACTAACCCATTATCTTGAGTGCTCTTGTGGTTGGTTTTCTTGCAGATCATGGGCTGAAGAGTGGAAGCTTGGCAAGTCTATAAATACCAAACTCAAGACTCAAGATTAATACAGATTTCGAGAAAACAAAATAGAGAGCTGAAG